TTGGTTGAATTAACCAAACATCTAGTCGAATATGAACGATCCAGAAATTCCGATTGAAATAACCCGAATTCTGTTTAAGTTAACCAAAAGTCTTGTTAACTTAAACAGAATTCGGGTTATTTCAATCGGAATTTCTGGATCGTTCATATTCGACCAGATATTTGGTCAATTCAACCAAATCTTTTTTTCTATTAATATTATAAGGATAATATATTATAAGGATAAATATATTATAAGGATAATATTTTTCCGTATACAGAGTAACAAGTTGCTTTTTTCAATAGTAACTTTGTTACTTTTTAAGTAACCGACTCTGCTTATCTCTCTCACACAGCAGGCATTTCCATATACGTGTTTTCGATAAGTAAATCGGATCATGTGACTCCACGCGCTGCTATGCGAAAAAAAATCAGAGAACACATTCGGCCGTTCAAAAGCAGACGCGTACGGTTTTACGGCGGCATAGATTAGCGCTATCTCGAGTGGCGTCGGAAATCTTTTCTCGCGGTAAGAGATGCAAATGGCCCGTCCAAGAGGGGACCCGAGTCCGGTAGAAGTTTCTTCGGGGCGCTAAGCGCCTGCCCGTTTGCCGTTTGGTAACTCAAGCGGAATAATTACTGGCCCTGCATAGACACTCTGGTTGTACCCCCCTCGCTTTTTCAGCCGACTCCTCGACGGGACAGGGGTGAAGCGAATTTACTCGGGGGTCTCTTCTTTTGCACAGGTGTCGAGGCGCGGAACGAAAGAGCCGCGTTACGCGCGGCTGCGCGAGCCGGATTTTTCGAATTTCACCTGAGCCGATGTTTCCCCTCCTCCCTTGCTGCATGCTGATCGTTCATCAAGTAGATTTGGCAACGGAATTGCGCGATTTCTCCAAGTGATCTTTATTATCGATTTATATTATCTCTTTCTCTATCGAAATATTCATTATTAACCTTCAACAATTTTCTCTTCATCCGGAGAAATATCTTATTGCAATTGTCTTCATCCTATAGAATGATTTTCTTATCCATGAATATACTCATAAATGGATCCACCAAACTGAATAAAAAAAAAAATGAAATATTTGTTTGTTAATTTTTTATCGGATTTTTTATCGGATAATTTCTCTCAGTGGTACTTTTCAATTTCGTAGAAACGTTCACTCGACGATTTAGAATGGAGACAAGTAACTCTGTATAAATGAAAAAAATACACTCGAATTCTGTAGTTGAAGAAACGTTTAGATTTGATTCGAAATAAAAATCAACAGAATATAGAGAAACACTTTTGTAGGAATGTGATACAATTACAACTTCGCGGAAATCCATGAGAATTGAAAGAGAGTGCATTGTCTGGTCAGATATTACGTTGACGATTACGCATTACAGGAACTTTGTTGAACTTGCAATACGGTGGAACCTTGTACGCATCGCCTGCCGCTTACGAAACCTGTGCAACGATTGCGCAATGGCCAATAACGGTGTTAAAGCATCGCGATAATAATGCGGTAAATATTATTATTATTACTGAGCACGTTCGATGTTATCGATCGCGTTATACCGCGTTACGTGCATTCCACTTGCGCAATAATCGTTCGACACGTTCACGTGGTTACTACGCAGAAGGAAATAAGCGGATCAATCACGATAAACTGTACACAGTCATCCGTAATAAATCTGTCGGCCGTGAGGTCAAGCGGGTCGTCAGTAGAGAGAAAATATCTATCAATATAAATCGACTATTTCTACATTCGCAATCAAAATATTTTTTTTACTTTAGCATCATATCCTTGCCTTTATATACGTTTGCGTATAAAAGTATTGAGCTAACGTGAACGAAAAGTGAGTATCTATCTTCTATCTTTGTAACTCTGAGACTCTATTCTTTCCTCGATTTTTTTTTTAATATTCTGTTACCTCTGTAAAAACATCCAAAATAAAAAAATATTTGAGCACTCGGGTAACACCTAAAGTACCTAGATACTTAAAATTCACATCACTAATGGCTAGGTTGACGGACTGATCGCACCAATAGCCTAAGTTTCTTCATTTGACTCTACGAATGATCAATCTTAACTCATTAACTCTTTCAACCCCAAATTAATTCTATTCGCAAAAACAATTTTTCCTTAATTCATTATTGCTCCTAGTAATGTGAAGATTACTAGGATACCTGATTTTTTTCATAATTTTTCAATAAATCATTTTAAGAGAATCAAAATGTTGTTTTAGAGAAACAACCTTTTGATATGCTGCATTATTTTCAATGCAAACTATATTGTATATAATAATAATTTTCCATTTTTTATACATCGCAATAATGCATGAAAATATTTTGTATAGTCCAATTTTATAATAAGTGAATGCAATATTAATAAATTGTGATTATTCATGGAACGGCCAGTGTCGAAGTGGAGAGACAACGAGTATCGATAATTTATTAGTTTATACTGCTACAACTAAATAATAAGATTAAATTTTCGCTTAGAATCATGAGAGACAGAGTTTCCAACAACGTTTGGCGACGAAAATATCGATTAGTTTGGCGTCTAGATTCGAAGTACATATTGTCTCGGAACAACAATAAGTGCGAAAGGACCATAAAATTATTTCATAAAAATGATTAATAAAAGAGGTAGTCTATTTCTAAATCGTCTCAAATTAACATCAGAACTATGTCCAAATTGATGATGTAAAAGAACTATTTTTTTTTGGAAACAGATATAACTGGGACACTGGAAATAAAAATAAAAATATATATTAATGAAATGAGAGAGAGAGAGAGAAGAGAGATTTAATTCAATAAACTAAACATTCCACAAGTAGAACACTGGCCGTTCATAAGTCAAACGACGCTTCGTGTTTATGACTTTTCGAGGCACGTTGAGAGGGGATGAGCGCGGCATCGTGAGACAGCATCGATTATTCGAATCGAAGTCGAGCTAACATTCAAAGGTGTGCTACCAGAGAACAAAAGAGCCAGTGTGAACTACCTTCGATCAACGGTAATTTCGCAGAATACTTTCGCTAGAATACAAACAAATCGCGCATTTCTGCCATAAAGAAATAGTGAACAATAGAAACACTATTCTCTAAAGTACAATCAGTATATTCTTTACTGATATGCTATAATTATAACTGATGATTCAGTTATAAGTATAACACTGCAATCAGTAAAATCTCTCTGAAGGGATCAGTTAATAGCAGCGGCTTTTCCTGTTATTGATGCAGTCTATAAATACAGACAATTGCGCGCAAATCGCAATTCAATCGCCTGCAAACGTAGAAAGCGTTTAACTTACGAAAGCATTATTCACGTTCGTGTGTATAATGCGACCTCACGTTTAAATTCTCCAACCACTTCAATTAAAAGCGATACTCTTTTTCTATTTTATATGTAGCGTTGCGAAAGATATTGCTTCAGTCGTGAGTCCCAAATCTGATTTTCTCAGGAGAAATCATTCGCTACCCTCTTTACTTGGCTCTTATTGGCTAAAATTAATTCGTTTTTATTTTTTATTCTTTTTTATGATACATTTCTACGTTTATAATACGTTTTTTATGATACGTTGGTTGAGAAACCGCAACTTTGGTCTTGCGAGTGTCGCTATTAATAATGATGATACATGCGCTATTAAATGCTATTGTTACACCATGCGTGCATCACTAATTATGTTCTTTTCGCGGTGTCGCCTGGACGTATATGCACGTGTGTTTTTATTTTGAAAAATGTGGTGGCAAAGATAACTCTCGCACTTGTGTACGTAACAATTAATAACAATTTTTATTGTTCTCTTGCTAAAGTGGCTTAGTTACATGGCGACCGCAAACAAAGACAAAGACTGACTAGGCCTAGGCCCTTTATAGACATAGGAAATATAGGGACGAAGCATCGAGAGGGAGTAGTTTTATACTATATAATTTTCATAATTAAAATAAAACTAGTATATATATCTTCTCCGAAAAGACGAGTATTAGTAACTAGCATTGAAAACAAGACAGTAGTCTAGGATTAAAGTCGTAGCAATCTAACCTGTGAATCAATCATGTATCTGTTTTCTTCGCATAAATTCGTGAAAAATAAAAAGTTTCATTGACGAATTTAATAAAACTTTTAATTTTTCTCGAGTTTACGCAAGGGAAATAGATAGATAGATATAATCGATTCACAGATTAGTGCTACGACTTTAAAACTGCGATCGCGCATTGCAGACGAACCTAAACGTTCTGTTTGTTTTCCAAAAACTTCTGAACTAGTGCACACTAGCGCGAAATTAGAGCGAAAGAAGATATACTCGTTTCACTCTAACTCGTTGCATTAAATCGATGGTTTTTCTTCGAACTATTGATTTAACGCAGAGCAAACAGGTTACCACGAGAGCGGTCGATAAGCTTTTCTTTCGTCCGTGCATGTATCTCCCCGCGTGTCCTTGAGGTGTTCGTTGCAATAATGTTCACGGAATAGGCCATAACGTATTTTTATGTATTCTCTGAATTTTTCGGAGTGACATTTCACTCTGAGAAAAAAATTAAGTGGTTACTAAGTCACTCAAATACAATTGATTTTTTAATCCGAATTGTCGAGGAGTGACATTTCACCGACATTTTTCTGAAAAACATTTTCGAATGATATTTTTCCAGAAAAAAAAAAATAAAGTTACTAAGTCACTCAAATACAATTGATTTTGTAATCTGAATTGTCGAGTGAAACTCGATTGCAAAACGATTTGCACATTTGGAGCGTTGACAATTTGGAGCGTTGCAATTATAATTTTGAATGCTTGGAAAAAACCGGTTTTTTTTATTTTTCCGCAGATATTTTCGGTTTTTTTCCAAGAGCGGAAAATTTCATTTGGCAAAGTTTATGCGTGTTTAGTTTGAATCTATCACATTTGCCGTTCGGCGAATTCTCGAACGAAAGATGAACTACCGGCGATGAAACGCGCGATGAAACGGCGCGGTTAACGGTTCGTTTCGCGCATGCATCCCCCCCATTGTCCAAGCGAATCTAGGCTAGCTGCAACCGAGATGCAGTAGACGACACTCTCTCCATGGTACTAGTTGCAGTCCGACATTCTCTTGGTACACTGTGGTGCGAGTTTTGTTAGACGTTGCCTTGGACACATACCGGCTCATTCGAGGTACTTTTGCCGCAATATTCGCCTCCGCTATCGCGACGAAAGACTTTGCAGTTCGAGTACGATACGCGGGTAGTGCGGGGTGCAGTTCCGAAAAGCACAAACCTCCGATTCAGCTGGTTTTTTGTGGAAAGCTTCTGCTTAGCTCCAAAATGAAAACCCTTGAAGGTTTTTTGGCAGCAACACCCCGTTCGCCCTCCACCCGTGCTCCAAGTTCAAACTTTGTGTCCGCTGTTTTTTCACGTGTCTGCACATATGGGCGTGTAGTTGTTGTGTGTGTGTGTGTGTGAGTCTGTGTACCTTTGCGTACGTGAGGGTGCGAGGAAGAAAGTGAAGATGAGTTGTGTAATTGAAAGAGATGTAGTAATGAAATGCACGTATATATTTTACAAAGTAATATTCTGTACAATTTAACTATGCAAGCAAGGTGTGTGTGTTTGTGTGCGTGTGTGCGTATGCAACTGAACGTATCACACACACACACACACACACACACACACACACACATATATATGTATACAGGGTGTCCCGAACCTCCATGATGACCCTTGGTGAGAACGTAGAATGGATTGAGGTGAACAAGAAAGTCCTGTGCCGTTGTGCGATATTCGCAATAGTTTTTCAGAAATTAATTATTTTGTCTCAACAAATTAGCGTACAGAAAGCGGCCGCGGAAAGAAAGTTGCCTTCGGGCGACGTGCGATCGTGACACTCGCGAATCGCGTCTCGCTACGTCCCTCTGCCCTTAATTACGTCATAGAAAAGCGTAATACACTGACACACATGCATGATATATCCGTGTGACGAATTGGCGCCGAATCGACACCTGTCGCCGCTTCGGCTGCATACATGTATGTAGAGGTGACACATCGAGCGACGTGTAATATAAAATCGTGTGCAAAGATAGTTATCTTTCGTTTTCTCGACGTCGTGGTAGAAAACGACGTCACGTCGTGGCAGCGCGCGATTACATTTAAAAGATTATTTTATAAGACAGCTCACATTAAAACCGTAATGTTTCCCTATGATTAAAAAGAAATAGAAAAAAAGAAAGCGATAGAAACTGAAAGGATTTGCAGAGAATCTATCGTCTTTATCGTAATTGCTTATAAATTTGTGCTAAATCTCTACATACATGTATGCAGCCGAAGCGGCGACACGCTTCGATTCGGCACACGGATATGTCATGCACGTGTGTCAGTGTATTACGCTTCGCTATGTCTCATAGCTAAGGGCCATCACACACAAGAGTACACTGAGAGAAAAGACTGGTAACTATAACAAACTGCATTTAGTTACAGAAATTCATTGAATCCTTAGTAACTAATACTAAATATGATAATAATTACCAAATATTTAATAGATCGGGAGTATGACGTAATTGCATTCACAGTAACATCAATTAAATAATTTAGTAATAGTTACTTAATGTTAAATATTTAATATGAAATATATTACAGTTATGAGCAGATATTTGATAATTGTTATGAAATTGTTATATCCCATGTAATAAAAAATTCAGTAGGTACGAGTTCTATTTTGTTAAAAGTATAAGTTCTATTTTATTAAAAGTATAAGTATGTTTTGTTGCAGCACAACGAAAAATTTATTCATTTGCAGCTATTACATCGTTTCAATATCTATTATTACAGATGGTTGGTTGAACCAAAAATTTTGTAACTACTACAAAATCGCTTATTTTGCTCAACTATTCAATAAGTTTTATTTACCAAATATATTCTGGAAGCAAATAAATTTTACTTCTGTCAAATAAATAATTTATTTTACAGAACTAAATTAATTAATAAGTATTGCCATAGCTTTGGCCCGCTATATTTACGTCTACCATTTAGTAATAGTAACCAAATTTTGATAATATTTACTAAATTCTTCTCTCAGTGTACATAGACGCATATGCATAGCATAAGATCGTATGGACCAATGAGCATCGAATATTAAGTCGCTATATTGATGATTGATGCTTAATACGTCATATGCTAATTTTGTGTGTGATGGCCTTAAGGGCGGAAGGACGCGACGAGACGCAATTCGCGAGTATCACGGTCGCACGTCGCCCGAAGGCATCTTTCTTTCTGCGGCCGCTTTCTGTACGCTGATTTGTTGAGACAAAATAATTAATTTCTCAAAAACTATTGCGAATATCGCAAAACAGCACAGGACTTTCTTGCTCACCTCAATCCGTTCTACATGCATCCGTTATATGCAGACATACGAAGAAACAGGAGACACAAAGTTTGAACTTTGAACACGGGTGGAGGGCGAATAGGATGTTGCCGCCAAAAATCCTTCAAGGGTTTTTGTTTTGGAGCTAAGGAGAAACTTTTCACAAAAAGTCAGCTGAATTGGAGGTTTTTCGGAACTTTATCCCGAATTTGTTTACACCGACCATTTACTACACGTACCAACCGTTAATTTTATACACAGAGAAAAATAATTTGCTGGCCCAGCAAATTTTCTGCTAGTCTAGCAAAATCTTTTCGTTATTATATGGAAATAGCAAATAGATTTGCTAAAAGTACTATTTGATGGATATAATTTGCTAAATCTACAAATTATTTTGCTGTGAGAACCACGATGAATTTATTTAAGCAGTTGCAATTTTGCTCCGATAGCAAATAAATTTGCTAAGGATACATTATTTTGCATCGATAGCAAATTAACGTGATTCTTAGGACAAATACACTTAACAAATTTTTTTTATCCTGGCAACGAAACTGCTTCTGCTCTGATAACGAATAATTTGTAAAATTAGTTACGTCAACTAAATTTTTTTGTAGTCACTACGAATATGCAGTAGCAACGACGATTTTGCTAAAAGGGCAAAATTATTTTGCTCCGTCTACTATATCATTTTTACTTGTGATGTATGCGACGCGCTTAAGCGAAGGACATGTATGCTAGAGAGAACAAGAAATCACAATGACGATTAAAACGATTAAAATATCACAGTAGGAACTCGATTTTTTATCACGATCACATTCTCGTTATTTTGCCATCATTTTGACGTAATTGTGATTTTATGTTTCACCTGAAGTTAACTCTTCAATTCCAGTTCATCATAGGTGTAGTAAGCCTTTTATTCTCTAAGGCCAAAATTGTAACGTAATTTTTGGCAAAATGCGTTTGCCGCGCTGTCAGAAGTCGTAACAACTTTTAAAAAGTTAGAGACTGCGACGTCTGGTAATACCAAAAACGCCTTTTATCAAAAATTACGTTACATTTTTTATTTTAGAATAAAAAGCTAAATATTCACTATATCTATTGTGGATAGAGATTTAACTACACGAGGTGCAAATGAGCGATCTAAATCTACGTGCTTAGCCGCGAGAGTTGTGTGCTAATTTGTGGAATGTAACATACCCAGCAGACATGATGACGTATTAGTAATGTACTAATGACGTAATAACTTTATTAGCATATAGCTATCTAACAATAAACAAATAATTGATTTCTTGCATTAATATTTGATTCTTCTTAATTTAGAATTAGTTAAATCGATTCGTTCTTGAAGAGTTAAACTGGTACGATACTTTCTTTTTTATATTGTGCCAATTTAGTACGCCATCGTTTACATACATCGTCGAAAGTGCTCCTCTAATGGCCATATTTATTTAAAAAAATGTTTAAGCGCCGCTAGCAAATTCCAAGAGCTCGTTTAGACAGTATCTGAAGAAACGAATATCTTCTTTGTATTCCCTAAATTTCTTAAGCTCTCAATTAAAATGAATGAAAAATAGCAATATTTTTACTCGAATCAATAGTGAAAATATCGCCACTCGAAATCATAAGAATGAATGTTTTATTTAAGAATGTTTCATTTTAGAATGAATTTTTATTTCATATGAACGAACGTTTTAATTGATTAAAGTGAATATATGTCTTTGAGGATAGAATATATATGTTCAGTTACAAAACAAATTTGCACATTTTTTACCGAATAAAGTTGCAACTATAGTTTTTAAAAAGCCGATTTTTTAAAATCCCTGGAAAAATAGGAAAAAACTATATTTTTTGCGAAAAATAGGCTTTTAAAGAAAAATTACTGTTTTTGTTACTTGAAGAAAAAATATTTTTAAAGGAAATGTTTTATTTTATATAAAAAGTAAACTATATAGATTCATTTATTTATGTGAGATTTGTTTCTTGTTTCCCTTGTATTTAATATTATTGTAAAAGAAAAAAAAGAAACGTTAAAGTCAGAAATTGTAGAGTAAAAATATGTAAGAATTAGAGTGTTATCATAGAGTCATAGAGGTTTTAATATCTTTACAAGATAAAACATTCTCTATAATAATCAGACAGTAATTATACCATATAATCGATATAAAATTGCAAATATGATAACCTAGAAATATATAGAATACATATACAATATGCTATCAGATTCTGTTTACAAACTCTGTCGACAGAACAACAGCAGATTGTGGATACAGATAACTATGGATTTTGTCGACAGATCATGCTCAATCTGTTATTGGACTGTTAATAGATAGCTTACTGGGGAAGGGAGGGAGGGAGGAGTTAATTTAATTTCAATTAAATGCGCGCAATTGTCTTTTTTTTTACGGAAAGAAGCAAATGTGACAAATTCCAACCAAACACGCATAAATTTTTCCAAATGAAATTTTCCACTCTTGGAAAAAAAAACGAAAATATCTACAAAAAAAATTAAAAAACCAGTTTTTTCCAAGCATTTAAAATTATAATTGCAACGCTTCAAATATGCAAACCGTTTTGTAATCGAGTTTCGCTCGACAATTCAGATTAAAAAATCAATTGTATTTGAGTGACTAGTAATCACTTTATTTTTTTCTCGGAAAAATGAGATTCGGAAATGTTTCTCGAAAAAATGTCACTCGGAAATGTTCCTCGGAAAAATGTCGGTGAAATGTCACTCCGAAAAATTCAGAGAATACATAAATCCGTCTAACTTTATATAGAAAAATATTATATATTTTTTGTTGAGAAAGAGAGAGAGAGAG